GATATTTAACGAGGTCGGATGTGTTATATACATGTTTGCACGAAATAGGCCTATATAGATAATCGAATTTCAAAAAACGCTATTTGTACTTTCTCTTTAAGATCAAAACCCTTGTAGCGGTGTTGTATGCAAAAATTATGGTACTTGTGAACTGACGACGTCCAATGGCCAGTGTGGATACAAGTGTAAATGTCCAGCGTGCTATTACGGAACATACTGTGAAAATTGTAAGAAAATATTAAGTTATTTTTACGTTATGTTCATTGTATGATTCTGTTTTAAGATCAAGTTAAATCTTATAATAATTGTATGTATATTATACACACACATATATACATATATTAATATATAAATACATATATATATATATATATGATTACGTTATTTATAAAGGACGCAAATGACTGACTCAAAATTGCTCCTCTAGTATAACCCTTTTATTGCTTGTTCACAAACCCTGTTTGATCACTCGCATTTGTTTGTGTGGTAACTGTAAATAACAATAAAATTACATACTGTATCATCATGTCATTAATCATTTGCATAACTATCATAATAGAGCATAATTACATTCGTATGTGAATTACCATACAAGACATGAAAACGTCATATAGTGTTGGATTATTATAATTGTACTATAACATCAACGATTGAACTTGTGAGATATGATAAGACTTACAAAGCTGTGAGCCACGATAACTACTGTACTATAGTGTAGTGAATTCAGCATTATCTTCACCTAGAGTACTGTCTCTTATACACATCTAGATGTGTATAAGAGACAGGTTATAAACATGTTTCCTCAAAATATATAGAAATCAAAATTGTTAAAAATGTTATTTCTCCTTTCTCTTTAAGATCAAAACCCTTGTAGCGGTGTTGTATGCAAAAATTATGGTACTTGTGAACTGACGACATCCAATGGCCAGTGTGGATACAAGTGTAAATGTCCAGCGTGCTATTACGGAACATACTGTGAAAATTGTAAGAAAATATTAAGTTATTTTTACGTTATGTTCATTGTATGATTCTGTTTTAAGATCAAGTTAAATCTTATAATAATTGTATGTATATTATACACACACATATATACATATATTAATATATAAATACATATATATATATATATATGATTACGTTATTTATAAAGGACGCAAATGACTGACTCAAAATTGCTCCTCTAGTATAACCCTTTTATTGCTTGTTCACAAACCCTGTTTGATCACTCGCATTTGTTTGCGTGGTAACTGTAAATAACAATAAAATTACATACTGTATCATCATGTCATTAATCATTTGCATAACTATCATAATAGAGCATAATTACATTCGTATGTGAATTACCATACAAGACATGAAAACATCATATAGTGCTGGATTATTATAATTGTACTATAACATTAACGATTGAACTTGTGAGATATGATAAGACTTACAAAGCTGTGAGCCACGATAACTACTGTACTATAGTGTAGTGAATTCAGCATTATCTTCACCTAGGGTATGAATAAATACATAAGACGTTCTAATATAAAGTCAAAGATAACAACTATAAAACTAAACATGTTATTCTCCGTTTCCAACTATTCTAAGGATACATCAGGGATCATATTCATGTTAGCCAAATGAGTGCGACCCTCAACACATAATATTCAAGACGAACCCCGTTGCCATAGCAACGTCAATCCGAGGAACGTAGGGTCCCTGGAACATCTACATGCCGCGAACATGCGGTCTTACCATTATTTATCAGTAGAATCAAAATAATAAACTATTTACTCAACTATCAATCAATCTATGATCCCAAAACCACTTTACGTTAATTTCTATATTCCTGGGATTCATCATGAAGTTTTATGATACAATATTGTGATCATTGTTTCAATAAAAGTAACTGGTTTCTATGATCCATTATATGTGAAATGATACGACGTAGGCCCTATGTCTTGCTAGCACTCCATTGCCGAACTAGGGCAAAGTAAATAACTAATTTCTAAGGAAATACACTATGTTATATGGAACAAGGCTTATATGTCTGTGATCACAATTATTAATTAATTGAACTGGCTTAGGTATGCATAAAAATAACTATTCAAATATGTGAATCTTACCATAAAACAACATGAACCGAACTTGACTGCCAAGAATAGTATGTGTCTCTTTGCGCAGTGCCAGAGGAGCGCGTAAACTACAACGAAAACAAAAATTCCAAGAGAACTATGGAACGCGCAAGAAGCAGCAAGAACTGCGGACAGCATACTCCCCCCG